CACTCGCATGAGGGCATGCTTGATCAACTTTCATTGTCGACGATCGTGCGCAGCTGAGACGTGAGCGCGTGCCACTGGAGTACATGGGCGTGCTGTGCTGCGTGAAAGCAGCTTCAGGGTATGGCAAACAGGACTGAAACCGCGCAGCCATTTCGGTGAAGCGTAGGGGCAGATTCAACAGCAGAGCTATCGTTGGAGTGGGTGCATCGGCAGCTACCTTTCAAGCTTGAGTCTAACGATTCGTACGACTTCCTCTCTTCAGACAGACTGTGTGGCGATGTCACAAAAGCCATCTTCCAGCTTCGTCACTCACATCACGTACAGAATTCGAATCTGTGCAAGCACGGGGTGATATACTTTAGACTGTTCTTAGCTTGTCTGTTACAGGCTCGGCAAATTTTGAAACCCTAAACCCTAAACCCAAAAATTTAGTGGCGTCAGTGTAGCCAGTGCGATGGAAGCTGGTTGGAAGTTGCTGGAGGTGGGGCGACGAAGGTCTCGCAAGCAACTGGGCAATCGCTCAAGCTTCAGATCCCCTGCTTCCTTGCGCATGGCTCCGCATTCTTAGAGCCGGTCGTGGGTCACTGTGCCCCTAAGCCCTAAACCCAAAAGCCTTAGGTCACCTCACTGCAACGAGACCCTTTGGTCTGTTCCCGTGGGCAGCAAACACCTGCTTCACGCTCCGAACTTCGACCAGCCTTGGTGTAGGAACCAGTGCCACGAACACCCGGGGTTTATCCTGGGTGGAGGAAGGTTTAGGGTTTACGGTTTAGGGTTAAGGGTTGAGGGCGTGCTTTGCGGGTTTCTGCAGGCTCACTGCTGACCATGTCGACTCGACGCGCAAGTCCTGTGTCACATGATCCTGCGCATGCGGTCATGCGGGTTCACAGAGGGATGACCCTGTATCTGCAGTCACACACGTCGGCCCCTTCCATGAACTCTCACCCAGCCACACGTTTGTCAAAAGCCACAGTGCCAGGTGGACGATGCCATCAAGCTGGGGGTACACAAGTGGGGCTTGAAGTGTCTGCCCAAAACGTTCAACCATGTGAACCCCCGCTTCCTCAAGGTATCACACAACTGCGTGAGTCGCTACGACGAGTGCCCAGCAACAGCCGACGATGCAAACACCGACGCCCCTGAATTGGGACATCTTCCGCGGGAGTGCCGGGGCAGCCCAACCTTCAAACCGCTGCAGCCGCAGCTACGTCGGCTTGTGGCAATGGCTTGCTGTGTCGGCTCCGCAGTGCCACAGCCTGGCCCGACGTCAAAATTCCGCCACGGCATGGCTTTGCTCCTTAACAAATGCTTCGGAGTTTTCCACCTCCTCACAGCGAGACACAACCCGCCTGCAGGCAAGGATGTTTGTTACCAATCCCAGTGGAAAGCCGTGCAGCATCACCTCGTAGCTTCTGCCACGGCGTCGCACCGTCCTCGCCAGGTCATTCCTTAGACGAACATGCGCGAACACGAAAACTGTCGCAGCTGACGTGCCCTTTGGCTTGCAGAACATGTCCGGATGCCCCTACTGCAGGAGATGGGGGATATCTTTTCAAGACCTATCCTCGCGTCATCGCGACAGGACGCATCCATCGCATAGTTGACTGGCCGCCAGTGCCCAATAGAGCACATTCTTACTTTCGTTTCTATGGGGCTAATTCAGAACGACTTGGGAAATCTTGGAAGAACCGAGGCACTTCAAAAGAGCTGTCGTCACCGTCTCCGGCTGCCCATCGATCATGAGCTCAACTTCAGCTACATGCCATCTTAGCGTACGAGTTCTGAAGTCGCAAGCTTGAACTGATCTACAGTTTATTTCGCACGACGCACGGGGTTGAAGCAGCCACCACATTTTCTTCAGTGAGGGTTCGGGATTTTAGGTACCTTACAGCATCTCCCCTATCTATAATCCTCTAATGGAACTATACTGTGACCAAAATACCAAATTTCCTACGAAGAACTAGATTAGAGCAGTAAGCTGGGATGTTCCCCCCAACGCTGACAGTCTCGAAAAGGGATGATAATTCGGGGTACTACAATCCCTTCTCAGGAGGACTCTTAGTAGGAGGAACATCCCAACCAGTCAGTCAAGAAGCTCGCTGTGCTGTCAGGCAACAATCACAGTGGGACACCCAGAAACACAAGACCCTAAACCCTAAAAACCCCCAAGACCTGAACACTGACCGTGGGTTTTCGCGTATAGGGTGTCGGGTTGAGGCCACCCCCAAAAAACTACGCAAAATGTCCTTGTAACGGGCATAAAGGGATTCATGCCTTTTACCTGTTTTGGGGGTTCTTCAGCAAGTAGTAGTTACTACAGTCACTGCAAGGTTTGCCAGAACTTGCCAAAATGGAGGCCAACGGGTACAAGCATCACATATTCTTTGAAGTCATGCTCTAAAATAGGGGGCCTGAATATTTAGAATGAGGTTTTGGGATATCTATGAAGGGGCCCGAAGAGAATACTATTAGTAATTCTTCCGACCCCTATTTCAGGATTCTCACAAGAGTATGCCAAGCAGCTGAATTATGGATGGATCTGCTAGCTACTAGCACCTTCTATCTTGGATGTTCCTGCTGGCCTAGACCTAAACCCTAAACCCTAAACCCTCTTTCTCACATATATAGATATACATTTAAAACCTTAATGGGGGCAGTGGACATTGGCAAAACAGCCGTGGACATCGGCACAAATGCCGTGGCCATCGGCCAAAAAAAGGGTGGCCATTGGCGAACTTGCCGCCAAAGTCCACGGGTCTTTCGCCAATGGTGACTTTTTTTTTGCCAATGGCCACCGCATAATTTCCAATGCCCACGGGTTTTGGCCGAACTTGCCAATGTCCACGGTTTTCCACGGTTTTTTTCGCCCCCTCCCCCCCACCCCCCACCGCCCCATGCCGAAAAGGCATCTTCTGGCCCAGACCCCCATTCTGGGCTCGAAACCCCAGATCTGGGGCAGATTAGGGCTTCGACACCCCCACCCCCCCGTATTCTCTCTCATTTTGAGTGATTCGAGGGTCGACACGCCTTATTCTTTCTAATCTTGAGTGATTGGGGGTGCTTCGGGCCGGGGGGAAACAAGAAACATGAGGTGAACAAAATTAGGCATTTCTTTTGGCTGTTCGTGCTCGGTACGAGGGTGGGGTGGGGGAAAACAACAAACATGAGGTTAACAAAATTAGGTCTTTTGTTCTTGAAAACAAAAAACATGAGGTTAAACAAAATTAGGTTTTTTTTTGGGCTGTTCGTGCCCGAAAACTCCAGAGTGACTTTCCGCCCTGCTCCCCCCCCCTTCTTGTTTTGACATTGTTGCTTTGGAATTGGTGCCCCGGTGACCGCGCCTCCCACGTGCCGATTGAGTGGTTCGAGTGTGGGGTGGACCGCTCCATGACAGAGTGAAGTTGGGGGACAGTTATTCCCTGGTACGTTGTGGGGACGTGGCGCTCCCAAACCCAGAACGATTGCAGAATGGCTGAGGGTCTAGCACTCTGTTCTTGTAATCGTATCTATATATATATATATGTCTATCTATCTATCTATGCATATATATATATATATATACATATATAACTGTATACTGATTGCTGACATTGCTGATGGTTGCTTCAGGACTTTCGCTGAGCGGCAGATCGGCTGAGACAGTTGCAAGAGTTTATGATGGCTCACAAACGCCTTGTGTTCAGGGTTTAGGGCATAGGGTTCAGGGTTTTGGCACTCAACTTTGCACCGGCAGTACAGCGCATGCCGCTCTCGGATTTCGTGAGATGCAACGTGCGAATGGGGCCTAGCTAATCCTCTGAGCTGATCACACCTCCAGCGTTCTTGGCATGCAGGCATACCAATTACCAGGGGAGCCCAGCGGGCCAAGAGGGTATCACGTGTGTCAGCAGCCAATCCCGAGTAGCATCAGCGAACCCCAACCTAGACCTCAAACCCTAAACCCTAAACCCTAAGCACACCCTAAGCCCCTCACCCTAAACAGCAAGAGCTTCTTTTCGATTGCTAAGGCAAATCGGCTGTCGGAACGGAAGGACTCACACCCGACAGGCCATCCTCGACGTCCCCCAGGGCGGCGCTTGGAACATCTGAGGGCCTGCACGGGGGTTCAGGGTTTAGGGTTTAGGGTTTAGGGTTTAGGGTTTAGGGTTTAGGGGGTAAAGATCGGTAGAGTGTAGCGTGATAACGTAGTGTAGAGTAGAGTGAAGAAAATGTAGTATAGTTTTGTTCATACGGTGTTTGGTATCATATGTATACATATACACCATATAATATGGTATAGTATAGTATATAGTGACTACAGTACATAGTACACGGCATCGAGTCTATAATAAAGCACCCACCCCAGTGTAGTTTAGTATAATAGGATAAAGTAGCACCCCATAATATCGTACATGGAGTAGATGGCCATGAGCACTAGTTGATGGGCGAAACCCCACTGGAGGAGAGAAACCTGCTCATGGCGAGGGATTGCCCTAAACCCTAAACCCTAACTAAACCCTGAACCCCAAACCCTAAACCCCAGGCATGTTTCATCGCACAATGCGCGGTCCCAGGTACAAACCGTCTCTTTGGTGCTGCCTATTTCAAGCCGTGGACTTGAAAACAATCCCTTGTGAACTCTTCATTCACCCTAAGCCCCCTAAACCCTAAACCCTAAATCCCTAAACCCTAAACCCTAAACCCTAAACCCGAATGCCAAGTTAAAGCCCTCAGCCATCCTACTAAGGCACCTCCCGAGGCTTGGAGCGCAGCACCTAAATCGGTGCTACAAGGGCCACGACAGAACGACAACTTGGTGAAACACCCCCTACCTAAACTTGTATTTCCCTTTGAGGTGGGAGTGCGAAAACGGATCAACTCACATCAACTCCTCTTCGGACACCTTGAGTGTTCGAGAAGAGTGGAGGTCTAACATGTCTTCCATGCCACCTCACCGATTTCATCGAGTGTTAGGTTTGCTTCATTGAAGCTAAGGTCTTCCCATGCTCTCCGGAACTTCTCTACATTGTCGTTGAAAGGACTTCAGAGGCCACCGCCGCTATGCAGGCCACGCCCCGCAGGAGCTTAGCCCGCGCGCCGTGGGAATCTCGCAAGGCCGATACGATGTACTCCGGAGCCCTCATCTCAATGGCCAGATCCATTGCTGTACGCCCGCGTGAATTTCGCAGGTCTTCTCGTGCACCGACTGCTAGCAACACAGCTGTTGCTTCATATGCATGCGTGATGATGCTGCACATGAGAGGAGTAGCGCTGTAGTGATGGTAGGCGTAAGCACTGAGCTTTGATTCGCTCCAGTGGTGTCGCAGGCTGAGGCACCCGAACCAAATACCCAGCGGGCTCAACAAAGGCGTAGCCAACTGGTTGTTTACATCTGCCCCCATGGCGATCAAAGTCGACACAACGTCTGCAGTTCCGGCCCCATGCAGCAGGGCATCATGAAGGGCAAGGTCCAACTCTTGCCAGGGGCTGAAGGGCAGAAGCGCCTTCATACTTGCGATGGAGCCTGCAAGACTTGCTACCCTGAAAGCGGTCGCATCCAGAATATTGCACGCCATCGGATCACAGCCGGCTTCGAGCAGGACGCTGATGCCATCCACGTTGTCAGCAAAGGCGGCCCAATGCAGAGCCGTCGCCCCATACCTGTCCTGGGATGGCCATTAAAACCCTCTGAAAAAACATTCCTCATTATGAGCCTCTTAAATCCCAGTAAGGGAAAATCGAAGATATCCCAAGGGCCTAGAACTAGTGTCTTGAGTGGTGAGCCCGGCTCTGTGGCTCAGCAAGACACGCAGGGCGTCGTTATGCATCAGGAAGGCGCAGAGGTGGAGCAAGTGAGCTTGCTGTCCGAAGGTGCTCGATGGCTCGGCGTTCCTTGGGGGAACCAGGTGAACCCCAAAATTGGGGTCACATACCCTGACGGCTATAATTCCTATTCAGGTATGTGCACCATAAACCCTTCACGCTTTCAGGGCTCATGTAATCCCCAAGGTTCTCCAAACGATCGTCCACATTCGCGCGCATCTCCAGGAGGTGTGAGATGATGAGTGGAGACCCATCCACCGCAGCAAAGCAGATGGGAGTCCAGCCTTCGTCGGTGCGCTGATCCACGGATTGAAATCCGTTTTGGTACATGAAGACTTCGGTGGCGAAGGCTGCTGGATCCTGGGTGTCGGACTCAAACCCTGGCACCAAGTCATCAATCGGATCGAGGGGAAGACCCCTGTAGTGCACTTTCTGCAAGTTCAGCATGACGCGGTAGTTGTGGAAATCAGCCTTATTCAGGTAGGAATGCAGCTTCCTGCGCACCATACTTTGCAGCACCGGTGCGATCATATTCCGGTCTGACTCCACCGTGAAATGCCCCAGGCCCACAGGGGCCTTCTCCCGTCCAAAGGGTGGCGTTTCCTCGTGATGAGTTGCGCCTTGAATCTGTACAGAGAAGCATGCATCGGCCCTTGTCGTAAGCTCTTGCGCCATGCGCTCCAACCTACACCACCCGCGGCTTTCCCAACTTCTTCGATTGAGAAAGAGGTCTTGCTCCCTGTGACGCACGTGGGGACACAAGACGATGAAGAACTGGCAGTTGTCCACGTAAGCAGGGATGCTTCTGATGGCCAACTTCCGCGGCACTTCAGCCGAGGCCGACTGTGGGCACGAGAAGAAGTCGTACCAAAGGAAGAGCGGCTTCGCTAACCTCGGCTGCCCCAGCAATCATGGTGCGAAAGCTGAAATTTCAAGAGTGGTACATGACGGCTCCTGTAGGGCACTGCTGCGCTGGTTGTTGCCCTACAGTCGTTCAATTTACAGAGTTTTTGAACCCTCGCGACCATTTTGCGGTAGTTTGGGGTTCATGCATGGAGTCATGGAGTTTGTAAGGTCAAGCTCCCAGAAGGCCCCAAAAACCCTACCGACCCCTTCTCCCGAGTGGTCTTGGCTCGGGGTACAGAGTCTTAACACGCCCCAGGCCTCACTAAACCCTAAAGCCTAAACCCTAAAACCTAGACCCTAAACCCAAAACACTCCTGAAGGAGGAGGCATCTGGACAGCTAGGCGACAGGTCTCGGACAGAGAGACTGCCCTGCTGCCCAGCGTAGAGCTCGAAGCTAATGTTTCCGGAAATGACCGCGTGCTCCGACCTGGCAGTACTTGGAGCTTCATGAGGGCTCAGGGTTTAGGGTTTAGGGGCAGGGATATAAGTAGGGTAACTATGGTTCTATCATTCTTTACGGGACTATAATCCGACTTGTATGTACCAATGAGCTTTCAAGGAAAGGTTTCGGGTTCAGGGGTTTGAGGTTTAGGCTGCTTCGTCTCCCTCCATTCAAGCTACCCTACACCCCAAAGCCTTAGGAGCTTACACTGTACAGTATGTTGCATACTCTTATGCTGTTACATGATGTTACGTCATATTACTATGCTTCTATTATAGTATGATGACATATTTATACATACATGTTTTAAACAAACAAACGAATACAAAAACACATACATAGAAAACACACAAATAAATACATAAATCAACAAATGAATAAATAAATATGTTTCCCCCTATTGATCCAGCGTTTTCGGCTTACAAACCCCAGAAAATACGCTTTGTGACTGGCCCCAAGGTATTGTTGTTATTCACAAAATCAAGCTGGAAAACATCGCTAGCAGGGTTTGCAACAAGTTTGTCGTTTTTCACGTTGAGAACACGCTAGGGTTTACAAAAAGTCCTTGCGTTTTTCAAGCTGGGGGCATACCAAGGTTCTTGAAAAAACACTTTCCTTTCAATGTTGAAGACACAGTGGGGCTTACAAAGCAGGTTTTCGCTTTTGATGTTGAGGACACGCAAGGGTCTACAAAACCTGTCGTTGTTTAAATTCGAGGGCATAGCAAGGTTTACAAAAAACTTTTCGTTCTCATGTTGAGAACGCAGTAGGGCTTACAAAAACCTTTCGCTCTTGATGTTGAGGGCTCAGAAAGTTGAGAAGTTCTTTAGCCTGGGCCCCTCGAGGGGTCAGAATCTTCAAGTGCGTTAGCCTGGGCCCCTGGAGGGGTCACAAAGTTAAAGTTCTTTAGCCTGGGCCTCTCGAGGGGTCAGAAAGTTTAAAGTTCTTTAGCTTGGGGGTTTTCTCGTGATGTCTTCCCAAACAGGCATGACAAAATCTGGTGCGATCTGCGCGCTGCCTTTTCTACAGAATCTAACAAGCGTGGCACGTTGATCTTGTCCATAACTGTTTGAGAAACCAGGATGGATCTTGTTGCTCTTCTTCCGTGTCCTTAGTCCTCGTCTTCCTTGAGTTCTTCTTTCTTCATGTTTTTCGCCCGCTCTCTCTGTCATTCTCTCTCATCCGCCCTCACCCCTTCCCTCTCCTCGTGCCATGCCCTGCCCTTCCCTCCTTTCCACGCCCTTCCCGCCCTTCACAGATGAATAAAAAGGGATTCCCTCCTTGTCATTTGGCAGCTTTAGCACCGGCTTCTGCCGGCTTGCACTTTCTCTTTTCCATTGATTCCTGTTGCCCCTTCTCTCATCTTCATCTCACTCACTCTCTCTCTCTCTCTCTCTCTTCTTTCGTTTCTTATTCTCATCCTTTCTTGCTTGTCGTCATTTCTCCTCTTTCGATCTCTGAATGCTTAATCACAAGCAATCTGTTTTGTACAGATTTGGCGTTTGGTTGTCCGGGCTGAGGGTTTTGCATTTAGGGTTTTGGGTTCAGGGTCTGGGGCTTAGAGTTTCTGGTGTTTCTAGACCCCAGACCTCAAGCCTTAGACCTCTTAACCCTCATTCCTCCCCTCTAAGCCTTTCAACCGTCAACCTTAACCCCAAAGCCCCCAAACCCTGAACCGCCCTGTTGCATGGTGGCACCGTACCCTAGACACTAAAACGCACCCAATAGCAAAGTTTAGTAAGCATTTAGTGTCTAGGGGGCCTAGGGTTGAGTGTTTAGGGTCTTGGGGCAGTGGTGTTGTCCATACATCCTGAAAGTCTTGAGGTTTGAGTACTTGAATCGTATAAACAAAGAGACCCGTCAACAAACGCATCAAGGTCCTTTTGCCACATATAGGTATATCTATATATATATATATACACATACGTATACACACACACATGCAAGTCTCTATTTCTGTGTACATTCTCTCATAAAGTGACCAATGAGAGCCATCCTTGAAAGCCCAAGGGGCATGATGTTTCTCAAAGCATCCTGGAGTACCCGGAACTGCTCCATGCTCGGATCCGGATGCTCTGAGGCGGCCCACTGGTGTGACACGAACATGGCATTTCCCATGCTGTCATCAAAGGGGATGACCCAGCCATTCTGGAGCAGCGTCTCCTGGTTCATGGTTGGGATAGTCATAAAAAGTTGAAATTTTGTTCCTTATTGAGTTTAATTAAGTACCCTTAAAAATGTAAAATTTTATTCCTTATTGAGTTCAAGTACCCTTAAAGATGTAAAATGTTACCCCACTATGACAAAGTCTCGTGCGGCAGGACCTCGGTCATGTTGACCACAACCTCGGCAGCGACGACGTACATCTCGAAGCAGTAGGAGGGGCTTGTCCGCAGGGATGCGGAGCCCCTTGCCTAGTTCATGGTTGGGATAATGTTAAATTTATAAGTATATTCCTGATTGGGTTTAAGTACTTAAGTACCCTTAAAATGTAAAAATGGTACCCAACTATGACAAAGTTGCAAGCCCCGCGCTGAGCTTCCGCGCGTGGAGCTCCAGGGCAGTCAGCTCACACGGCTTCTCCTGGCACTGGCACGCCATGGCTTCCATGTGTTCAACGCTCGAGGTGCACTGCTCAGTGCACCTGGGAAAACTGAACCTCTGAATTCTGCGGCGATTGTTGAGCACCTCTGCGAAGTTCAGGGCATCCTAAAGCCTGCCAGCTTACTCTCGAAGAGCTATAAACCCCCAACTCTACAGGGCTTTTCCAGGACCCAACCTCCACTTGCAGCACTGAAGAACCCCGCACTTCAGCAGGTGTCTCCAGAAGTGAGATGCAGTGGCAAGATGGGGGCATGTTTAGTTCAAATTTCTATCTGATACTTCTACAAAAGGGTTCCAAGGGCAGAACAATTGGCAACCATTGAGGCTCCTGTGCCACGCATCTTAAGGCGATCGAGGGTGTTCCACGAACGGGGAGGCTTTGGACCCCTTTAAAGGATTAGATTTAGGGTTCTGGGTTTAGGGTTAAAAAGAGTAAGCTGAGGAACCCTTGAAGGTATACACATCGTGTGTCATGTTCTGTAACAGATACCTTGCAGGGTTCAATAAAACCATACATAGGCCAATCTCGTCACTTTGGTGTTCAGGGTGTGTGGTTTGGGGGGTTAGGGGTTCAGGTGTTTAGGGTTTAGGGTTTTAGGGTCGGGTTTAGGGTTTTAGGGTTTACTTTAGGGTTTAGGGCTTAGGGTTTTAGGGTAAATTTTAGCAGGGCTTAGGGTTTTAGGGTTAATTTAGGTAGGATGTTAGGGCTAATTTTAGGGTTTACGGCTTGAGGGTTAATTTTAGGGTTTAGGGTTTGAGGTTTATGTTGGGGAGCAGGATTGCGCGCGCGCGCGCGCCTCACTTCGGCTTCACTCGCCAGGATGGCTCCAGGCCCGTCTGAGAGATGAGCTCCTCAGAGCTTCAATGTTTTGGATCTCAGTGGGGTTTAGGGTTTGGGGTTTGGGGTTTAGGGTTTAGGGTTTGGGGCTTAGGGCTTGGGGTTTGGGGTCCGAGCTCTAGATCGTGTGGGGCTCAGGGTGTGGGATGCTTCGAAAGCCGAAGGGAAAAAGGATGGCATGCGAGGCACCCACTTCTTGGGGACCAAGTGGACCAAAAAATGGTCAGGGTTTAGGGTTTAGGGTTTAGGGTGTAGGGTATACTAGTATACTTGTCCTATTCAGGCATACTAGATCCAAGAGAATAGGTATAAAAAAAGGGTGCCCTCTTTTGGCTTCAAGGGGCTTTTCAGGGAACCCAAGCCCAAACAACCGAAGAAATACAAGCCGACTCTGGGTCCTGGCTACCCTAAACCCTAAACCTTAAACCCAAGTTACGTGAATCTTTTTGGGGTTCATTTGGTCCCAAATAAATTGCCTGGCGTTCAGCTCTCAACATTTGGGTGGAAGTGCCCTCTGATTAGGAACTCAAAGCTTCCGGTTTAAGGGTTTAGGGTTTAGGGTATAGGGTTCAGGGTTTAGGAGTACATAGCTATGGTCCTCTGAAACCCAACAACGGGAGATATGCAATACCCCAAGAGCCGCCCTGAAGAAGCCAGTGTGATCTACGGGCTGGGATGAGGTTGAATGCACGGGGCTGCGAGTTGTGAGGTTCAGAGCTTGTAGGATTTAGGGCGCAGATTGGCTGGCCATGTTTCTCCGAGAAGGTTGTTCGAGTGCACGTCGTGCCATTGATACCACCTGCAACGACTTGAGAAGGGGTGGGTTTGGTTGGTGATGTACCTCAAGGGTATCTTTCACGCACCCCGACAGGGACTTTGCATCAGACTCTAAATACGCAGCCTTACCAAAAGCACATGCTGAGGAACCCAAAGCCATGACAGCAGTGAGGACCGAGACAGGTGCTAGTGCCAAAGTGAGGGCAAGGACCAGGATCGCAGCCTCGACACGCTCAAGGCCTGTAACTGCCAGCATTTTGACAAGCAAAGCCAAGACAGTTAGGAGGGTCGCGACCCCGACACGCCGTCCCTGTGACTGCTAACAACCTCCAGAACCCCCCACCCTCTACAACGAGAACCCCGCACCTTCGTTATGCTGCTATGCATTCGGGAAACAGCTGCAAGCAGATGATATAGGATCATCCAAAATCAACGCCAACCGATCCTAAACATTGAATTTTCATCCCAAGACCCACGTCCGCTCCCGAATGCAGGATCTGCAGCCCGCATGTCAAAACCAGCGGGACGGAGGGTTGGGAACTAATCTAGGGGCCTCATGAAAATAGGGTCTTGGGGGGATATTGCAGTATATATTGATAAAGGAGCCATAAGGGAACACCATGACAACTTGCGCTCCCGGAGCCCTGAACCTTGCACCCTAGTACGTACCCTAAACCGACACAAGGGTCCGCGAGCCTTTGGGCAAGTCGCTTCACGCCCCTTCTCCTTGCGGATGGCCACGTTGCAAAATGGAGGAGGGTACTCATAAGTAGGGTAAAAAAGGTAGGGTAACTATGGCGATCACCTTATGTAGGGCATGTCTAAACCTACTTAAACCTCCCCTCTTGAACCTTCAAGGACAACACACACACACACTCTGCTGTCGTCTCATCTCAAGCTGGGATCTCAACATGGGGGATTCTCTACATTAGGTTCCTTTTTGGGGTTGCTCTTATGAGGGCGGTCACTTTTGGGGTTCATCTTCAGGCGGCCCCTAACATCCAGGGCACCCAAAAGGGGATCATAATTTTTATAACTGACTACATGCTGTCAGTTTCACTCGGCCGCTCCAAGACGACGGTGGTGGTGTCGGACATAGCCCTAAGCCACAAACCCTGAACCCAACATCCAAAATCCAAAACCCTGAGCCCTGAACCCTAACGGATCGGCAACTGGGATAAGCTTAAACCTGCCATCCCAAGCCCAGCCTTCTCTATTTTCTGGTCCCTTTTCGGGGTATCAGAAGAGTAAGGGTTTAGGGTTTAGGGTTTAGGGTTTAGGGTATACGGGCTTCTAAACAACAAGAATCCCCAACAAATCTTGAGTTTGTGCACAAGCAGACTATTCCTAAGTGAGATCCTCACTTACCCCACACATTTCCCGAGAGGCGACCTTTGAATCCTAACTCCCAAGCAAGAGGTATAAGGTTTAGGGTTTAGGGTTTAGGACCCACATTCCATGAAGTTCCGACCGGCCACACTGGGCAGGAGCCATGCAGAGAGTGCGGCATGATCTCGGCAGGAGGTGGCATCCCAGGGTTAGAACCCAAACCATTGGGTTTGGGGTTTAGGGTTTCCCTAAAGCCGAAAACCCTAACCCCCCATAAATCCTAAACATAGGGTGTAGGGCTTACAGGGTGTATAGGGCTTACTTGGGGGTTTAGGGTCTATGGGGTGCATAGGGTCCAAACGTGCACAACAAGCTTGGAGTCCATAATGGGGGGGCTGATCTGGGTTATGGGGCCTTTTTTTGAGTTCCCCCTAACAAGTAGATGCTAGAATGCCCCAGACGGGTCTATGCCTTAGGTCGTTCCCCGAACAGAGAGATGCTGGAATGCCCGAACGGGTCTATGACGTAGGTCGAAATGATTGTCGGGCCCTCAGTGCGTAAACCCTAAACCCTAAACCCTAAACCCTAAACCCTAAATCCTAAACCCTAAACCCTAAACTAAACCCTTACAGCACGCTCCAAAGGCTACGCTGACTTTGCGAGGCCTCACCTCGCTGGCTCAGAGGGTGCCTTTTTAGGGTTTAGGGTTTAGGGGCCAGCGTTCTTTGACAAGGAATTGTGAGCAGGGTGGCATTTGTCCTGTGTGGCCCTCAAGCAAGGCGGAATCTCCACCATGAATTGTCGCCTACATGGGTATTCTCATGTATTCGCCGCAATAGACGATACTCCTTGCTATAGGAAAGCTCGAGCAGGGTACGATCTTCGGAAAACCCCCTGCCATGTGTGCTGGATTGTCCAATCCTGAAGCGCATGCTATCGGGTTCGGGCGATCAGAGTCTAGGTCCCTTGTTGACGTCGCAAGGACATGTTTGTTTGAGCGCAGGCTCCGCACCGTAGGGCAGGCCCCAAAAGACCCCCAAAGAAGTGTGGATTTGGGGTTCAGGGTATGAGGTTTGGGCACCCGACAACGGGTGTCTAGGTACGCTCCAACATCATAGCCTTAAGAAGACCGGATCGTCTGACCGCCGCTAGGTTGGTGCGTAGGGTTTCGGGTGATCCTCTTGATCCCAACAGGAGATTGCAGAAATATCTCACTTGGTAGCCCAGTAACCATATTCGAAGAAAGGTACCCTTTTTTGGAACCAAAAAAGGCAAAAAGGGTACCACTGGGCTACCAAGCTCAAAGAGCTTACCCACGCCACAGGACCCTGAGAAAACCCGAACCACGTTCGCGCGCAAAAAACACAAGACAGTTGCTCAACCTTATCGTCCGCTAAACCCTATCTGCTTCTGTTTGACACTCGAATTAAACCCTAAAACCTAAACCCTAAACCCTAAACGCAGCAACCCTGAACCCTGGACCCTAAACCGTAACAAGCACGGGGGAGAGATGCTCAGCTGCTCACCAGCCGGCCCATGAGGTCATGGCTGCGGAAAACCACCTCAGCTCTGGAGCTTCTAGCTTCAGCACTTCACCCTAAGCCCAAATCCCTAAATCCCTAAACCCTAAACCCCTACACCCTAAGCCCTAAACCCTGAACCCTGAACCCTAAACCCTAAACCCTAAACCCTAAACCCTATCCCTACACCATAAACCCTAACCCTACAGCAGGGTTTAGGAAGTTTTGGGCTTCGAGCTGCTTAGGGTCTGGCTTTTGACAGTAGGGTTTGGCAGGGGCTGCGGTATCATTCTTTTGGTGCCGTCCAAGGGGAACTCCGGCTTCAAATCAACCTCCCTAAAAACTGCACCACCCTAGATGATCTTAAGCCCGAAACCCTCAGCAAGTCTAAGCCCTGGAGCTGGAGCCTGAACCCGAACCTGACCTGAACCCCCCCCCCCCGCCCCTTCCCCACCTCCGTGCCCAACTCTCAGAAAGTCTATAGCCCCCCCCCCCCCCCACCCCCGTGCCTAACCCTCAGAAAGTCGAAAAGGGGGTTGTGGGGTGGGTGATCTGTCTCAAATGTTGCTCTTTAAGCGAAGGCACAAATCAATTCAAAACTCTTACACTAAAGAAGTTGGAGATAGGATCGTTTGCATGAAGGCTTCCGAAGAACGCCCCTGTGAACAAACCCTGGTCAGCACCAGTGCATCCTGCATGAAGCAGTGTGCTCTTTTCGTTTCTTTCGCATGTCTCTTTGAGCAGGCCTGTGCAATGCCAAAGTCGCTCCACACCTGAATGGGTTCCTTCCTAAATAAACCCTACTTGGGGCTTCACTGAACGGTACTTAGTAACCCAAGTATAACCGTACTTATAACCCAACTACAACCCTACTAGGGTACTTAAGGGGCTTATAAGTGGGTTATAACCACACTTATCATTGGGTTACAAGTACTCTGAACAACTCTGAACCTCCAAGTAAGCCTTACATCTACTCCTCGCCAAGTTGATGCTTACAACTGCGCGCGGCCCCTGCAGGTGCAGGGCGCTGCAATGCGATCCTGTTCCAAAAGCAAAGCTTCACACAAGACTATGTGGGGGAGCTCGTAGGACACAGCGCGGGGCAGAAGCGCGAGAACCGTGCCCATAGCCCAGAAACCCTCAACCCTGGCCCCTAAACCCTGGACCCCAAACCCTAAACCCTAAACCCTGAACCCTAAACCCTAAACCCCAAACCCTAAACCGTCTAAACCCAGGTCAAACCCCGCCATGTAAGGACTCAGATGAAGGTCCGGGTGGCCAGCCGCCCTTGCACCGGGCGCACTCGGAGTCCAGCCTGCTGAGTCGCCAGGTTTAGGGTTTAGGGTTTAGGGTTTAGGGATTTAGGGTTTAGGGATTTAGGGTTTAGGGTTTGGGGTTTAGGGTTTGGGGTTTCGGGTTTCGGGTTTAGGGTCCCTAAAGCAACCAGACCTAGACCCGCACGGGGCTTGATCCACCTCAGGGGCCCTTTTTTGGTACTCTCCGGAATCTGTTTGAAGATGAGGCATCAAGAGTCGACTTAAAGCCCTCTACCCTCAACCCTTGGGACGTTCCCCCCTGAAAAACTAAACTGACAGTCCACAACAGGGATGATAGAGAATCCCGATGAGAATCCCTATTAAGGACTGTTAGTAAAACAGGGGGAACATCCCAACTCAACCCTCAACCCTACACCGCCCCACCCCAAACAAACCCTAAACCCTAAACCCTAAACCCTAAACCCTAAACCCTAAACCCTAAACCCTAAACCCTAAACCCTAAATCCCGGCAGGCTGGGCCTCGCAAACCTCCCGCAACGGCGGGAGCTTGCCTCACTGAGCTTCACGAATTTTTGCATGGCAGGTAAGGGTTTGGGGTTTGGGGTTTGGGGTTTAGGGTTCAGGGTTTAGGGTTTAGGGTTTAGGGTGAGGGGCCACTGAGCTTCACCTACTTTGCAGGGCAGGTAGCAGTTTGGGGTTTAGGATTTGGGGTGTTAGTTGCTTGGAAAGGTTCACCATGACCGCCGAAACCGCACTCCCAGACTCAGCAATGTCTGGCCCCAACCGGAGAATGCTTGAACTAGACTCCATGTGGCGGGTTCTCAAAGAATCAGTTCTCTTGGCTTTTCGGGTTCCTTCTTGGACTCCGGTTGGAACAGGGGATTTCGAATGTCTGTGGCACTCCTGCAAAAAGGGGACCCTTCATCTGCTGAAATGTTCATGGGTGCTTCTAAGTGGGGTCATAAGTACCAGAAGAGGTCGTAAACGTACTTACCCTACTGATAACTTACTTCCAAGTAGCCATGAACCTCGAAGGAATTACCTTCCGGCAGGAACGTGGCGCGAAAGGCTCCTACTGCACCTGGGACTGGGAATCTCAACCCCCTAGCGGAAAGCACCCAACATCAAAAAAAACCCTCAGTTCAACCTCACCTTACCCTAAACTCTGTAATCACCCCCTGAACCCTAAGCCCAAAAACCCTATAAAGCATATAAACCCCATAAACCCAAAAAAACCCATAAACCCTGCAAAGCGTATAAACCCCATAATAACAACCCTATAACCTAAACCCTAAACCCTAAATTTCACCCATATGCCGACTGGTGAGGCCCAGCTGCCCGAGGCGAGGATCTCTTTTGCATCCTTGCGCGGGGCACCTGACATCCCGAATTCTGGGGTTTAGGGTTTAGGGTTTAGGGTCTCTCTACAGTTAGAGTCGTGGTTTGAGCGTTTGGGAGATTTAGGGCTCAGGGCCTGCGGCTCGATTGACGCCCACCTTCATGGTACTGCAGCGACGAATTTCAAGGCTTCAGCCTACTTGGAGGTTCATGGTACGTTTAAGTGTTTTTTTCGGTTTCTCGGTTCTGCTGACCCTAAATCGTATAAAACCTATTAAGCCTATAAGTCCTTTAAAAAACCCTTACAAACCCTTAAAACACCCTATACACTCAATAAAATTCTTTAAACACACTGTCAACCCCAAAAATTGGGGTCTCTGGGGCTGATGGAGCTTTGAACGTAGGGTACTTGGAGCTTGTAAAAGGTTTGTGGCCCTTTCGGTTTCTGGGCTTTTTCTAAACCCTATGAACCCCATAAACCTTGTAAACCCTGTGAACCCTCTAAACTCTTATAACCCCTCTAAACCCTGTGACCCCTCTAAATCCTTTAAGCCCCAGACACCCTCTAAACCATCCCTGAACTACTATTCGTTTAAGAACCGCAAGAAACATACGATCATAATCCCTTTATACGGAAGAAGGCTCTGAATGTTTAGGGGCTTCTTCAGCAAGTAGTAGTTAATTCTCTAAACCCTAAACCCTAAACCCTAAACCTGTTGAGGGTATCCATTTGGCATGTGGATGGTTGCAGGGTTCATAGTGCGACGTCTTCGTTGCAGCAACGTGATTTCTTAACAGCGGTTGGCAGGGAATCTCTGCACCATGGACGCGCCGGAAGGCTTACACCCTTTTTGTCTCGCACAAACAGCAAGTTTAAAGCCTTGTGCAAATGTGTCTGCAACCTGCTTTCTTACGATGCACTGCCTGCTTCTTGCCCCAGGTTCCTTCTCCCCCTGTGAGCCTTTGCATATCAGCAGCATGCATACAGTTCGAGAACCCTTCTCAGAGCTCCACTCCGAGACTTTACATTGGGGGCTCTCCGGAATACACAAGGGCCTCATATCTTTCAGCAAAACCCTAACCCCCCCCCCCCCCCCCCAAACAAAAAAAAAACAACCCAAAACCCTAACCCGAAAACCCTAAACCCCCCCCCCCCCCCCCACATACCCCAGAATGTCTTCACAGGGGGGCGTTGAGCCTTCGGCCCCTGCCACGGGCCCAGACACCAGGTCGTCCACCCAGGGGAAGATGAGTTCGCCTCCTTCCTCAGGCTCCTGGGTTGGGTTTTTTAGGGTTTAGGGTTTAGGGTTTAGGGTTTAGGGTAGGGTTTAGGGCTAGAGGGTTTTTGGAGGGTTTGTAGGGTTTAGAGGGTTTAGAGGGCCATTAGAGGGTGTAGGGTTTGGAGGGTCTTTGTAGGGGCTACATGGTTTTAGCGGGGTCTAGAGGGCTTGTAGGGTTTAGGATTTTCGGTTTGGGTTTGTAGGGTTTAGGGTTCGGAAAGAATGTAGGGTTTAGAGGGCTTAGGGGGATTCATTGTGGAATACTACTATTTGCTTAAGAACCCCAAAAGAATATAAAATAGTAATCCCTGTTTTACCCTTCACAAGGAAGACTATTTTTCTTTTTTCGGGGTTCTTAAGCAATTAGTAGTGAACCGAAGTAGAAGTCGGGTAACCTTCTGAAGACCTCCGCCCTCCTTAGCGGTGGCCGAAACCACGCAGACAAGCAAGCAGCGAGCTGGGCAGTTATCTTGCGTTTATAAGGGATTGCAGTGTGGGGTTAGGGTTTAGGGTTTAGGGTTAGGGTTTAGGGTTTAGGGTTTATAGAAATTGTACAGGGTTAGTGTCCGGAGTTTTGGGCGAAAGTTTTGAGCGAGTTTTCTTTTTTGCTTTCCGAAAGTTTTTTTGCTTTTGGAATGAGGCTGGGGCTGGAGCTGGAGCTGGGAGCTGGGGGCTGGGGGCTGGGGGCTGGGGGCTGGCGGCCAGGGCTGGCGCGCTTTGAATTGGGATATTGAAAATGACACAGCCACTTTGGATGAATCTACTTAAGCTCTGCTTGTCAGCTGTATAGACAAATAACTTGGAACCCAGAGAGAGGTTTGTTTAAGTGAATTGAGTATTTGGCCTTCCGAAGGCGCTTTGAATTCATTTAGACAGACAAATAACGTGGGATATTCACGATGATACCACATACAATTTCTATTTATCCTGGTCTTGAGGGTTTAGGGTGTAGGGTTCAGGGTTTTAGTTTTAGGGTTTAGGGGTGGGATGTTTTTGGTTATTTGCAGGGCTCCTGTATTGACAACAATCCCTTACACCCGACCTTTGACAAGCGCACCTGCACCAGAACCCCCGACGGGACCCAAATCCCGTATACCCCAGTTCCCTAAGCCCTCTGACCACCCCCAAAACAACCGAAAGCCCAAAAGCTTTAAGCCAGGGAGCCAAGGTTTTTGATTATATGAATCTCTAAACCTTAGACCTAAACCCTGATCCCAACAACCTACCCTAGATCCGCACTTCATTAAGTCCAAAAAAGGCTCAGGGTTTAGGGTATAGGGTTTAGGATAGTCCCCGCCTCCAAGAAGAGGATGGCTGTGAGCGTCCGCGCGGCCTCTTGGGCTTCAGGCTGGAAGCTTTGCGGGGCTCTTGAAACTTTGAGGGCGTTTAGGGTCTGGGGCTTATAGGGTTTAGGAGGCCATGTTAGGGCGTTTAGGGCTGGTGTTCGTGCGGTTCTTGAAGGATTTACGGGTTTTATGTAGGGCTTGTAGGGGGGGTTTTCGGGTTTGTCACCAAAAGCTCAAAAAATGTGTCAAGGTGTTGGACGCCCTAAACCCTAAACGCTAAACCCTAAACCCTAAACCCGGATGCCATTCTTCTGGGCCGAAATGCGAGCCTGTCGCATCTGGGCTCAAGAGGTGCGAAGCCGTCATCGGTTCTTATTAGGGAAGGGGGGAATGAGGTACCCTACACAATCCCCTTCAAGGGTATATATATATATATATACATATATAGGGATATTACCTAGCAAGTTTTGGACTTGACACATCTCATCTGGCTTCCTGTTGGCTGCAAGTCTCCACTGACCGTTCCAGAGTGGCAGGCTGTGAATTCCTGACCGTATGGTAGTATAGGGGTGTAGGGTTGAGGGTTTAGGGTTCAGGGGGGTGTATAGGGGCCTGAATAATTCGAAAGTTTTTTTTTGGGGGGGGGGTATAATAGTAGACAAAAAGGAATCCTGACAAAATACTATTAGTATTTCTTCCGACCATAGACCTTTCTTTGCTTCTTTGTTTCGTGTGCTTGAATGTAAGTCCTTGATCAGTTCTGGGCGGGCCATTGGGGCGCTCTGGAACTTCTCTTGAGGTGATGTTCTTCGAGTGCCAGGGGAGGGTTGTTTGAGGCGCCTCGGATGGTGTCGATGTATATTGGGCGTCATGGGTACTTGTAAGTAGTGTCATCAGCACCCGAAATAATTTAATAGCCATAGTCAGCCCACCTACAACCTACTTATGAGTACCCATGAGCCTCCAAGTCCCTCCAACTCGGGCAACATGGAAAGAAAACCAGCAAGCTCGTACTTTAGGGTTTGGGGTTTAGGGTTCAGGCTTAAGGTTTAAGAGCAAACGATCCTAGAAGGAGGGAGACTGACATGCCCCACTCAAATGGGTATTTCGGCCACAACCAGTGCTCCTTATCGTTATGTTCTTCCCTCCGGTTTCCAGAAAGCAATTTGTCCCCTGCTTTGCCGATGGCTTAACTAACAGTTTTCTACAGTATTGTGGTTATAAAGCCCCCTAAATACACACACACACTAACTACTGATAAACAAGTCTACCACAGAAGAGTTAAAGAACCTTAGTCAGGGGCATATCTGCAGCACGCGCTCCGAGCCTCTATGCTTGAGTCGCGGTGTAGATCGTAGGAATCTCCGACGTCGTACTGGGTGACTTGAAGATACCTTGGAGTTCGCACTTTGTGTTCAGGTGTTGGAGCCTCCCCAGACCGCTTTTCAAGCAACAGCACGCAGCAAAAGGTCCAAAGGCAAGGAACAGCACTCTATCGAGAGCATCATATACAGCGCACACACACACACACACACACACACACACACACACACACACACACACACACACACACACACACACACACACACACACACACACACACACACACACACACACACACACACACACTATGCACTACTCTTGTGGGGCCCTAAAAACACCACTCCTAACAACTCCGAAGCATCCGAAGTGCTGGCCCACTGCATGGGGCATCATCGTCGCTGCATCCATTCGCTCGATGATCTCTCGCGTTACCTCTGGCTAATGCTTGGAGCTTCAAAGGCAATCACAACCGGAGTTGTACCTGTACTTTGGGATGCTCCCCCCATATACTAACAGTCCTTAAACAGGATTGCCCCCTATTCGAATCCCTTTCAGTATAAGGGGGAACATCCCAACCCGTACTTACAGCCGGTTGGATCCGCGAGACATTCGGAAACCTGTGTGCCGGTTACTAGACGGACCCGTTGAGCCTTTTCACGGGCTTTTGCTTTCACCCGGCACTTGGGTCCATGTGGGGTTTTGTGGCCTAAGTCTGAATTATCGTTACATGGTCCCTTACTATGGACCGTTAATTGGAGAACCCGTATGTGCCCCGTATATACCCTAAAGCCTTGACTGGGGAGGCCTAGAAGAGGACCCTAACTTTCGGACACTCTCGACATGAGACTCCTGTACAGGAAAGCATCTGAAGTCCACTTCGCGGGCTTGTTCAGTGTGGTAGTGAGGCCGCTCCTCCTGCGAGTGGTGGTTTCGGGCTTAGGGCTTAGGGCCTAAGGTGCAGGGTTTAGGGGTCCGGCTTTAGGGTTCAGGGTTTAGGGGCGCATCTAAACACCGCAGCAGGTAAGGGTCTCAGTTTTTAGGGCAGCAACAGTGGAACCTGGAATGCAGGGTGTTGGGCCCTCAGTCAGAAGCGCAAAGGCCAGGAGGGCAGGTACAGCTTGGCTTTCAGGGTTCGAATGGTGTAAGGATGGGAAGGGTATTTAGGGCTTAGTAGGGCTTCGAGGTTCTTGGGCTTAAGGCTTTGCAGGGTTTAGTGGGGTTAAGGTGCCAGGGGCAGCCGCTTTATTACTTATAGACAAGCTGTTTTCACCTTGCTCCGCCTGCATGCAGACTGTATCGTATGATCTCGGCATACATATGCTCCGTTTTTTTGCAAAGTCAAGTTCAAACAGGTTCGAGCTATTCAGCTTCAACCACATACTTATGTAGAAGGCCGGGCCACACAAGACGGAGTTCGGTTTCAGGGTCTACAGTAGTGTGGGGAGGGTGCGAATGTAGGTACTAAATGGGCAAAAAGCCAGAGATATAATCTAGGGTTTAGGGTTTGGGCTTGGCTGCACTTAGGAGGGTAGCTATAAATTAAATTTTAGCTCCCTTGCTAGGAAACCCAACAAACCCAACTAAGGCTAAGGATCTAAAGTTACAGTTAAGCACCACAAAGTGGTGTTTAGGGTGCACTCCTTCGACCCTCCAAACCCCCTCTACCAGTGTGCCAAGACGTTTAGCTGAGCGTCACTGCCGCATTTTGAGACTCGCGGCCCATGCTCCCTTTCCAGACGCGTGCAGATTCCATGCGCCCATGACCTGGTGCACTCGGCTTAGGGTTTAGGGTTTAGGGTTTAGGGTTTGGGGTTTAGGGTTTAGGGTTTAGGGTTTAGGGTTTAGGGTCTCGAGCCGCGAAGACCACACCTGCGAAGGCCCAGGATATTCTTCTCTATTCCATTTGCTTAAGAACACCCCACAGAATATGGTTACAACCATAGCTACCCTACTTATCACCCTGCTTAGAAGTAGGTTTAGGGTTTCGGGTTTAGGGTTTAGGGTTTAGGGCTTAGGGTTTAGGGTTTAGGGTACACCAACACAGGAATCTGCAGCTGGAAGTCTGTTGTTGAAGACTTCGAGGCATTCCTCCTGTGAGCCGTGTGTGGAGGCTTTCTCGGGAAATCCGAGAGGTTCGGGGTTGATGAAACTCCGGACCCTAAACCCTAAACCCCAAACCCCAAACCCCAAACCCTAAACCTGGCTAAATCCTCTAAGGCCTCCGTTGCAACATCGGCGTCCGCAGCGGCTGCGGCTAAGGGTTCGGGAACCCAAGACCCACTGGGACCCGTTGAATGTGGGATGGGCCCATGGCCAACATGGTTCCACCATCTAAACGCATAGCACCACCTACAGTGGTGCGGGCGGTGCCAGACCATCTAATTCATCGAAAATGATGACCAAAACAATCAAGAAGACGATGCAATTTATATGAACCAAAATGAACGCGTGTCATCCAACCAAGTACTAATGATTTTAAATAGTCGCGGTAGTGAGTTTAGACTCGGGCAGGAAGTTCCCCAAGTAAACGCAACCAAAGGCATCTCACGCTGCAGCGGTTCATTTTTGGTTTCGTTTCATGTCAGCTAACGATGCCTGTCACATGACTCCCCAATGAACTCAAGTCATACAAAAAAGACTGTGTTTGAAAATCGTGGCGGTGAGTCTAGACCCTGGCATGCAGTTCCCCAGATGAACACAGCCAAAATGACATCACAACCCGCTTCTAAACTTCTATCTCCTTGCTGCGTACCCGCGCCGCACTGAAACCACTCATCCTTGCCTTCATGCTTAAAGGAAAGCCTCCGAGACCACATTGCAGCAGTTCATTTTTGGTCCGAACTTCATGTACTCAGGCTTTCTCTTCGTTACTCAACGACGCTTTCGTGCGGCTGAACGATACCCGTTTTGCTTGTGACCGCTACCTCGAACGACACCCCCGAGACCACTTGGAAGGCATCTGTGGTCGCAATGCGTCACCTCAGAACCAGCCATGGTCCAAGTAGATCTCAGAACCAGCCATGGTCCACGTAGATGCTCGATTTCGCAAGCGCCACACTTCCACAACGTATCAAAACCAGCAGCGAATGCGCGATTTCGCAAGCGCCCACACGAGACACACATCAGTGGCAGGACAGCGCATCGAAACCACCATAGCGAACAAGGAAGCCCATTGAAAGCAGCTCAAACTCCATCGGCATCGTCCAAGCACGCACGTCCAAACTGTCAGAAGCATACTTGACCTCTGTGCTTTTCAACGTTTTCATGGTCAGCATCTGTGAAGAGCGATTCAGGGAGTTGTGAATCCCGGATGAACGCTGGCCAAGCATGGCTTCCCTGCGAAATCATGCAAGAAAATAGTAAGGAGAACCTAAAGCCTAAAGCCTAAAGCCTAAACCCTAAACCCCCCCCCCCCCCCCCCCCCCCCCCCCCCCCCCCCCCCCCCCCCCCCCCCCCCCCCTGCCGCCTTCCACAACTCCCTGTAGGGAGGGCGCAGAGTGCAACACAACTCTGGGGGGCCTTTTGGGCTGCAGTTCGTAGCCCTAGCATGTCGATGTTGGAGACCTGCCCGTGCTTGTTTTTGTATTTTGTTTTTTTGCTTATCTATTTTTTTTTTGGGGGGGGGGGGTGGAGAGGAGGTGAAGGCCTCTGAACCCTGAACCTCCACACCCTCTGCACCCTAAACCCTAAAAACCAAGAGAGAGCCAACTCCTTGGTTGCGAAGTTGTCAATGACGTATATCAACGGATTCCTGGTTGGCACTTGGAGGTTCATGTGCGCACTTAGAAGTCGAGTATAGGGTTTAGGGTGGTTATGAGTGTGGTAAAACTATGCTTGCAGCCTTCTGGAGGTACTTCTAACCCTACTTCTACCCTAAACCCGAAACCCTAAACCCTAAACCCTGAATTCTAAGTACCCATGAACCTTCAAGTACGGTTTCAGGTGTATGAAGCCAGTGAGCTAGGTGCGAGACTCGTGGCCCGTGCATGTGGCTCGCGATGGGTTTTGTTGTGGCTTCTGATGAGGGGAATGAGTTGGGTGGTTGTCAAATTATGGTCCCTTTTGGATTCCCATTATACTACGGCACCTAATATTGAGGGTACCCCAAAAGGGATTATAATTTTGACAGCCACCCAGTTACCTTGGAGCTGATAGACCCTATATCCCTTACTGGGAGGTTCATGGGCTCTTGCTAGTAGGCTAAACCCTAAACCCTAAACCCTAAACCCTAAACCCTAAACCCTAAACCCTAAACCCTAAACCCTAAACCCTAAACCCTAAACCCTAAACCCTAAACCCTAAACCCTACAACACCGGCGGCCTCGCGAGGAGTCGGGGTGGTTGCCACCGCCGGGTCTCCGCAGCACAGTTGGCCTCCTCCTGCGCTGGGGGAGTGAGGGGTTTAGGGTTTAGGGTTTAGGGTTTAGGGTTTAGGGTTTAGGCCCGGCCTTCTGGTTGGTGGGGTTAGGTTTCGAGTTTAAGCTAGACCTTCCGTGCAGGGGCCTTGTCAGTTTGAAGGTGCTGCACAGATCGCACGTGCCAAAAACGCAACGGAGGCCCAGCTCTGACACTAGAGACATGCCAAGCTGCCGAGCTCCCTCTACTTGGTAGGGTTTAGGGTTTAGGGTTTAGGGTTTAGGGTTTAGGGTTTAGGGTTTAGGGTTTAGGGTTTAGGGTTGCCCAGTGGTACCCTTTTGAACTATTTTGGTTCAAGGTTCTCTTATAAAGGAACCAACCCCACAACAAAGTTGCCCTTGTTCTAAGTTGGTTACCCGGCTACCAAGTCTACCAGAAGCCTACAACCTGATCCACCGCTTAAGAACTCCAGACTTTTTTCCCTAGTTAAGCCTCCTAGAAGGCTTCATCAAGAATGTAAACTCTAAACCTGAACCCGAAGCCAGAACACCTTGGAGGAGAAGCAGAAGGAGGAGGAGGAGCAGGAGGAGAAGGAGGAGGAGAAGGAGGAGGAGAAGGAGAAGGAGAAGGAGCATGAGGCGCGAGATCCTAGGATAATATCCTGAGACGCCAACCTGCTCGAGTCTACCCTGAAATCCTCGCCGGCTGCAGTTGCAACGGCCGAAATGAAAGCCAGCAAGAAGCCCATGACCGGCATGTCGTTCGGGCTGGGTACGTGGGTGTAGGCAAGTTAGGTTTTGCAGCTTTGGCCCTTAGGCTGGTAGGTAATTGTTGTCGTGGTCCACTGGCTACTTCGGGATTTCTTGCTTGGGGTGAGGGGGTTTAGGCCCTAAACCCTCAACCCTCCACCCTAAACCCTCAACCCTCCACCCAAAACCCTAAACCCCAAGCCCTCAACCCCAAAACACGCTGCCTGCAAAATCTAAGGGCTTGGAACCTCCATCCCTCGCAGCCCTGAAGCCTGCCAGGGCATGAACTTGCCAGGGCTGGGGTCGGGTTTAGGGTTTGGGGTTTAGGGTTTGGGGTTTAGGGTTTGGGGTGTAGGGTTTAGGGTTCAGGGTTTGGGGTGTAGGGTGGTCTGGGGGGGTCTGGGGTTGAGGTAGGCTGGTTTCTTCGGGGTTGAGCCTGGAAGGTGGGCGCGAGAATTTCAAGTCGAAGCTTGCACAAAGGTTCAGGGTTTAGGGTTTAGGGTTTAGGGTTTAGGGTTTAGGGTTTAGGGTTTAATTCAACCTTCATCCCTAAACCTATTGCAGGCGGAAGGTCCAGAGGTTTACGGTTCAGGGTTTGAGTTCAGGGTAACTGCTGAAATGTCGAATTGAGTGTCTATGCAGAGACACATCGGCGATTGAAATCCATGGCTGAACGCACGACGTTTTACTCCTGCTGCGCGACCAGAAAAGTAAGCACTATGCTTATGGTTGTGTACAGTGGTCTAAAAGCGACTTATGTCTTTGCTTGATTCACACTTGGCTCTGCGTTTTGCGTGCCTCATGTGTTGTGACTTTGTCACCTGAAAACATGTCTGACCCAAGGGCTTGTTCTCGTAGCCTTCCCTTGAGCGTGCAGCGAGGTCGACTGGAATCTTGCCCAACTTCATGCTTCATGTGGCTGATATTCTTCACTCCTCCTTGGAGCGTACGGTAGGACAGCTTCATCCACTGGCTCCTGTTGAGCTCGCGGATCTCTCCCATCGTGATTTTGGCAAAATCCACAAAGTCGTAGCCGCTCAACCCTGTTCATGGTTCCAGGGTGTCTAAAGGCATAACACCGCTCATGGATATGGAATGTAGCCCGTCCTGGAATGGCGTATACTTGTTCGGGAGGTTCTTGAAGATATCGTATCATGATCGGCTGGGGTACGGGATCAGGTCGGACAAAGGCAGGTGCAACTGTCTGCGTGGATCTCTCGATTGCTCCTTGACGACGCGGAGAGGTTGCCCTATCGCTAGTTGATCTTCGCCGTGTAGAAGTCAAGGGCCTTGCGTCAATCCTTACAGTGGGGGCTGGTTCGGCATCTGGCTCCCTCAGCAAGCGAGCAAACTCATCATTGATTGCTTGTGTTGTTGCTTCTCGCAATCTCTGCAGTCTTCGCATACGTCTTTCGCTTGCTCCTGATCCTATTTGAAAGAAAGCCTGCCAACCCAGCCATTTCAGTAACTCCCAACTTGCTATCATCACCAAGACCAATCCCCATAACACAGCCCACGTCGCTAAACTCCGATCCACCCGAAGAGGTTCATAAACCACCACGCCATTTTCTTCAGAACTTTCATGGGCATCTCCTGGTGTTGTAGACTGTGCAAGCATCATCAGAGCCAACAATACTCGCGAAACACCAGGCTGTGATCTTGTTCCAGCTATCATTTGCACTGAAACTTCATCTTCAGGATCTGGTTCCAGCCTTCGGATATTCCACAACTCCATCAGTTGCAACATCCGCGTTGAAGGCATGGCCTTCGTTAAAAGGTCTGCTGGCTGCTCAATACCTCTGCAATGCACCATTTCGATCAGGCCACTCCTAATCTTTTCATGCAGCCAGTTTGCTTTGATCCGGAGGTGTCGTGTTCTCCACGATCCCGATCCTTCTGCCAACGCCAGCGCTGTTGTTGAATCGGTTTCCAACCTCATTGCCAACTCTTCATTCAGAACATCACACAACAAGGCCTGGGTGCTCATCGCTGCCAACGCTCCTTCCGTTGCCGCCGTCAGTTCTGCTTCACCGGTAGACAGGGATGTCGTTGGTTGCCTCGACGATCGCCAGCTTATGGGTGTTCCGAATAGCATAGTCACCCATCCAGTATGTGAGCGTTCTCCCGAAGGTGCAAACGAGCTGTCGGCGTAGCTGACGATGACAGAATTGTCGGCTTCGATGTACAGGGCACTTTCCTGGCTTCTTTGCAAGTATCCCAGAACCTTCGCTGTTATTTCCGCGACTCTTCGCGGTGCCCTTGTCGTCAGTGAAGATAGGAGCGACGCCACAAAACCCAAGTCTGGTCTCGACCTCTGGCTCAGCCATAAGACTTCCCCAGCACACTGCTGGGCGAATCGCAGTTCTTGCTGGGTGTATTCATCTTCGCCTTCCGCAATGTCGAAACCAGCCAGTTCACGGCTTACTGGAACCACGTCCAATCGTCGCTCACTGATGCCGTGGATGCGTAACAGCTCTTGTATATATGGTCTTTGGGAAATTGCGAAGCCCCTTGCAGTCACATGGATTTCCATTCCCAAAAATCTCACTGGGTGGCCCTTGTTGGCATATTGCAAAGGTGAGGTCTTCCAGATCTGCTGGACCGCGGTCGCCACCACACGTATGATCTCAGGAGACGCCAGGATCAGGTAGTCGTCAACATAGATGACCAGGATTCCTGCCGGCTGCCCATCCAGCCTTATGGACCACCACGTTGGCTCCACCTGGCCTTGGATCAACACCACCTCCTTGTCGCCCAGCGCCGCCTTGATCTTCCTCATCTCCTCGTCCCGGAAGAATCCCCATAACCGCGGCGATTCCCGTAAGCCGTAAACTGCATGGGTTATTCCCCACAGTTCTTCTTCTTCTGCAAGGTCTGCCTTGACTAGGCCTCTTGGCGGGACTGCCACAACCACTGGAGCTTGAGGTACTTCTTCCATCGGAGTTTGCAAAAAAGCAGCGATTACATCCAGGACAGCGGCGAACCATCCAAACTTGCTGGCGATTGCGAGGGCTGCTCTAACCACCTCTGCTGGGGCAGCTCCCGTGTAAACGTCCAGTCCAGATGCATCAGCCATGTTGCCACATATGACAGCACGCGCCTTCCGCTTATATAAGGGGTCGCCCTTCACCGCTGGCTCCTGCTCCGGCGGCTTTATCGTGTAGACAAGCTTCATGGGCAGTATTTGAACACCAGGCCTGGACAACCATTCCTCCCTTAGCGGATCTCCTTTCTTCAAGCGAACAACAGCGTGCTGTATAGCTCCTAGCTCCTTGGTGATTGCGGGCACCCAGCGATGGAGGTGTTCCGCTGCCTCAGATGGATGCACTGTGTGTACCACCGCAATCGGGTCTTGGAGTGCTTCTAGCAGCTCTTCGATACCACGCGTGTAGCTGACCTCCGTCTTCATGACTTTGGCTTGTTGCACATCTAGCAAGCTCATCTCGGTCACTTGCGCCAATTGAGGTACATCGTCATCCTTAATCACCAGGTAGAATTCGCCAGGGCTATCATCTTCTTCCGTAGGCTGAAAAACGCTGGAACTTCCTGCACGTTGTTGTAGATCATGGCCTTGTTCTCCCAACTCCCGCTGCAATTTCCAATCCACCACAAACAACAGCGTCCCGTCTGAAGTCCTAACCCTTTCAGTCCATCCACCACCACATAGGTCTTGGACCTCGTCTTCGATGATGGTTTTGGGGGCTGCTACTCTCATTGCTCTCATAGCAACCACGTCGTCGGTTAGGTCCACGGGCGCGCTGAAGCCCAAGTTGGCCAACTGGTCCTTGTCTGCAGTCGTAAGTCGTCCCACCCTCGCTGGGGTGTATCCAATGATCGTTATGCGTTCTCCAGGGCCTCCTTTCCACGGCATCACTGCGTGTCTCCTCCTCGGATTGAAGGACATGAGCTCGCTCTCTTTCAGTCCCAATGCCGTGCCATGGTGGGATTTTCCGGCTTTGTCCTTGAGCTCCAGGATCTTTCCTGCAATCACATCTCCATTGCACAGCTCAATCCATAGATCTCCTCCTCGGCGTGGAAGTCGGAGGGGGTACACGTAGTTATAGGTTCCGGCTTCGTTGCGGGAATCCATGTGAAGGCCTTTATCTCCATCCACCGACAAGTAGATCGACGCAAACTCTGCATCTGGATCAACCTCCTGGATGATTCGGACCATCACCTTGGCTATCCATGGGTACTCGTAGGAGGCTCTCGTCAATCCCATAACACCTCCATGCCGAAACACGCCGTACTTATTGGCCACATTGGGAAGTAGTGCACAAGCTTGGATCACCAAGTCCTCCGCTCTCTCCATGTTCCAGTCTTGCAACACCTTCTCTGCTTCCTTTCGTAGCTCTTCTTCGATTTCCACGGGGCTTACTTGATGCATGGTGGTAATTGTCGACAGGCCTGGGGTCTTTTCTCGAAGCCTTCGTCGTGGTTCTCGAGGAGGTTCGGCTTCCATTATGTCTTCTGGAGGTCCAGGGTCGTGTAGATGTGGCCTCACGTGCAAAGTGTGCAAGAACCGAGTACCTTCGTTTTCCACAAAGACGAGGTGACCTCCGCGCACAGTGTCAGAAAGCCCCAGGTAGTAGCCCTCCTCCCACCGTGGTGCTAAGTCATCCAATTTTCCACCATGATGCGCCCCGACATAGGACTTCTTCTTGATGAGGACCTTGGATCCAAAGGGGGCAGCCAATTTTGTCTCAAATCCCAGTACGTCTGCTCGCTGTTGGGCAGACGCATACTGTGCTGCACTCGGCCATAGTTGTTGTGGTAGTCGGGCTCCAGCTAACAGCGTCCTTGCCCTTTGCTTGACCCACCTCACCGTGTTTTCTGCAGCTCCATTAGACTGATGTTCTCCTCCTTCGCTGCTAGTCATTCTTATCCCTTGGTCCTTAATCCACCTCCTTGACCCTTTCGCAAAGAACTCCATGGACCGATCACAGTGGAACCTCAAGATCGGGATGTTATAGGCTTGGAGGTAGTGCACCACATCTTGAATCGCTTC